TGCCAAGACGCAATAGGGTCATCCTACAGAAACGTCCACTTTTCTGTCTCACTGGCGTTACTGACCCTCACTGGTGTTACACCTAAAGGAACACCAGAGACATTGTAATGAAAAACGCATTTCACAAAATAACTGCTACAGAGCATCAAACCACATGTTGTCCATCATGGAATATCCACTAAAATATGGAATTTAATCCATTTGTATTCTATTTTTTCACAATGACCTCAGAATAAAGTCGGTCACGCCAGTGACTTCAGCTAAAAGCTTCATATGAAATCATGAGCTGAATGAGAAAATCTGTGATAACTGAAAGACACAGTAGACTCACCATGAGCTTTTCTTCATAGACCCTCAGAAAACAGGTAAAAGGAAGTCGAGTGATGTCATCAGTGGGACTTTTATTTCAAAATAAGAGATTTTTTGTTATGCAGTAACACCAGTGACACGACTCCTGGGGACAACACCTTTCATTATATATTTTATAATATTTATTTGGCGTTTGTTTTCTTTATGTCATTTAAATAATGTATTTCACATTCATGTATAGATTATTGTAGTTAAAATTGCAGAAAAATGTGTTTTTTTCTTAAAAATATGGCCTCAGCCTTCACACATGACTGTGAGGACAAGCACTTCTATGGTGCTTGGAATTCTAGATAATTGATTTAAAAGCCAATACTGCTAAAGTGATGGCTCAAGAAGGTATAATTGTTAAAATAGCTTATTGATTTATTTGAAAATGTAAATAAATTGTAACCTTAACATGTTTTTTTTAAGTGTAATATATCTGTAAATGCTGGGGACACAAAAATGGACATTACTGTAGAATGACCCAACATTAAAATGGATCAACGACGTTGCGTCAGCAACACTCCTCTGTGTGAGCAGATCCTCGTTCACTGCCAGACTGAGTTGTTTGTTCATTAGCGCAGTAGTGTACAGTAGGCTTATACCACAGGGTAGCAGGTAGTATGGGATACTAGTGTGGGTGCGAGTAAATGAGAACAGTATCAGATCAATACCTGATACCAGAGTCAGCATCGCTGCATCCCTAATCAACAGTAACAATCCAAAGTTTAATCGTCCCCTTACACTGACACTGTCCCCTTACACCAGGGCCTGAATTTCAGTGCGGGATCGTGGGTATTGCGCGTAATTCCATCGTTTCCCACAAACCGAACACGCACAATGCGGGAAAGCCCTGCAGACATTTACAGCGATGTTTAATAATGTTCAGCCAACGTTTGCACCAGTGTGGAATGCGGGACGACTGGCTGAACGGAATGACTTCTGCTCTGGACAACACGCTCGGTGCGCTCTCTCTCCCTCTATCTACGAGCCAATGAGCGCCCTCTGCTGCTGCAGCACCTCTCGCTAACATTTACAGGCAGGTTTCAATTATGTGGACTTGAAGGCCTGCAAACACGGACCACTGGCTAAAACCCTGGAACGCGCTCAGAAAAAACACCGAACCCAAAACGTTAGCGCAAACAGCAGGGCTAGCGTTGTCAATATTAATCCTCAGGATCCTCAGTCAGGTAACAGTAACGTTAGCGAGGTGAAGCAGCAGCACAAAGACAAGTTTCAGACTAACTGGCTCAGAATATTTCCCCCCATGTGAAACATTTAAGGGGGGGATTCCCCCCATTTTGAAAAATGAATTTCAGGCCCTGTGCACCATTACACTGACCTGGGGTTAAAACTTTCAGAAACCATAGACGACCCAGGATGGGGGGTTGGAGGAGTGTTAGGAGGGCTGCAGCCTGACCCTGTGGTGTAAAGGAGAAAAAACAAAAAGCCTGGGCTGATAGATCTACTGTACTGCAGGTCTAAAGCCACACATGCAGGAGAGAATTAAACAGGAGAGCCATTTTCACACCAAATTATCAAAGGCCTCCTTATTTAGGAAAACCTCCTGTATTAATCAATGTAGCCTATTTATGTGGTAGTTACACTTTGTTTTTTTACTATCTGCCACTACAAAAGCACATATAAAATGCAGTGCGTTTAGTGGGGTGTAATGACTGGATGGTGGCCCCACTGAATGACCCCCTGGCCATTAGGGCATTTTACACTTATGCTAACTAGCACACGCTCAGAAATAAAGGTACTAAACTGTCACTGGGGCAGGACCCCTCTTGTCACTGGGGTGGGACCCTCATGGGTCCATCTCAGTACCTTTAGTCAGGGAACATAACTGAACCATAATCCACTGAAATGATATGTTCTAAGCTGTACTGACTCCACACACCCCGTCTCGTCTCCAGGCTTTTATTTTACTGTTCTGTTTAAAACATTCGGTTATGAAAAGAAACAAATACGAACTTTTCACCTGGAAACACTTATTTAAGGTTCACAATCAGACCTTAAACCCACTGTTGTACCTTTGAGGGAACATTTACATTGTTTGTACCTTGATGAACGGAAAATGTACCTAAACAGAACCTTTATTTCTAACAGTCTAGGCTTTAGTAGCTGTCTGAATCACTCCATATAGAAAGCTCAAAGAGACAGGCTAAAAAGCTCCAATTCATTAGAAGCGGATGCATATTTTACCCAAAATACATAAGTGCAGCTCTAGTATGTGCTTTACCCTCCTCAACAGGTGAAGAAATCAGTAGTAATGGCAGAGAGAAACTATAAAACACCCAGAGCAAATCACGAGAGAGCTCAACTCCATTCATACAACATCCATGTGCTACAGCTCCGAGTCTGAGGCTACTGACTCTTCCTTTCCTTTTTCTAAGATCTAGTACAGGTGAGAAATTCCACCCGGACTAACTGACTTCAAATTCGTCCATGCAAAGTCACAGCGTGCGAACGCAACATCTTCATAACTCTGCTGCCATCTAGTGTATATTTCTGCCACTGCAATCTCAGGAAAAAGCAGAATCAATCCTAATCCTGGAGATATTGATGAAACACACAATAAAAAAATCACAATATTTTCCAAATATATCATATCATAACCATATATAACTTTATGAGCCAGTAGAACTCACATGATGTCTAGTTTTTTCAGACCCCCTTCCGTAATGGTTATGAAGAGTCTTAAAAAAGATGCCTGCCAAATCTTGTACAGAATGACCTTCTGATCTTGGTACAGTAAGCAATATACTGGTTTCTGAACTTTGACACATCACCAGTTTGCATGTCTGAGTAACTTGTAGATTGGTTATATTGTAAAAGTAGTACCACAAGATATTTTTACTAGGTTATTGTACTGTGAAAAAGGTTTTTGGGTGCTACTTTTACAATATAACCAATCTACACAGAGCAAGTTACTCAGACATGCAAACTGGTGAGGTGTCAAAGTTCAGAAACCAGTATACTGCTTACTGTACCAAGATCAGAAGGTCATTCCGTACAAGATTTGGCAGGCATCTTTTTTAAAACTCTTCATAACCATTACAGAAGGGGGTCTGAAAAACTAGACATCATTTGAGTTATATATGGTTATATATCATAAAGTTATATATGGTTATATATGTCTTGGACCCCACAGATTGCCACTGGTGGCAGTCCTAAGCAGCTCATAGCTTACAACAGTCCATAGAAGATGTTATTTGAGAAAAAAAAAAAACATCACTTTCATGTGAAAATTATATTGGCTGAAAGCAATAATGCATGTTTATCTTTGTGCACCCTCTGTTTGAAAGGTAATAAAGAAAGAAATCTGAATAGGCGAAAATGAAACTAACTAGGGCTGAACGATTTGGAGAAAATATCGAATTGCGATTCTTCTGACCAATATTGCGATTGCGGTTTAAATGCGGTGATTTTCTATAAATTGTAGTAAATTATAGTATAATTTCCAGGCTCGTTGTTTTTTTTTGCTCAAGAAGACCAGAATATCCACTTTTTCTGGCAGGAAGCTTGGACACTGAGGGAGTCAGACTACCAGTTGTGATGTCACATAAATAGAACATGGGTGATTTGTTGCCTCTGATTGGTATAACTTATCTACAGGCTGCTTACAAGCTCAGTGTTATTAGTTGTTATTTTGGTTTGTCCATCTGAATTTACATGACCAAATCGTAAGGCAAATTATTCAGTAACTGCAAGAAATGAATGTAAATTTTTATTTACTTATTTATTTTTAAAAAAGCTCCCCTCAAATTAACAGAAAATGTGTTTTATGATACACATATTGCTATATGCTTACAATTTACTGCTAAAAGCCAAAAATCTTAGACACTCTTTGTATTATTTTATATAAATAATTTTTACAGAGCAGATCACTGAAGAGACGCCATCTGTTTATAGTTTATAGCCCAGATTTGTGAAAAATGGGTCGACTTTCAGTAGAAAAAAAAAAGTTCAGAGTTCAGCTTCTTTTATTATAAGGGTTTAAAATCACATCACCCATCTATTTGACTGGAAAGAAGACAGTTACAGCTCTCATACGACCCCCACCTTTAGAATGTAGCTTATGAAATATAAAAGTTATGAAGAATATGACGAAGAGCGTTTTGGAACCACTGGTGGTCTCAAGGAGTTGACAGGTTAAGACAACATTGCTGATAATGTATTATACAATAAAAATTGCAGCTCTTGTGATTTGAAAATTGCACTCTTTCAAATTGCGATTTCAATGTAAAAACAATTAATCTTTCAGCTCTAAAACCAACTTTACTGCTCATTTTCAACTATATGAACCATTAGCTAACATTAACAATAGATCATTTCACTGTTAAGTTCATTTGGAAAGTTAATGTTACTCTTGAGAAAGTTTGATAAATTAGGATAAAAAGAGTTTACTATCAAAATCAATGTGCTGCATTCGCACCTGCTTCAAATCTTCAAGTTGTTGTTGCAGAGGTTATCTTAGCTCTGACCGCATCTCATCACATCTACACTGTTTCACTCAAATGAACGCGTTTACCATTCAAAACGCAGAATCTGTATGTAATATATGGTTAGAATTGAACAAAAAAATGACATTCGATCCCACAATTATTAACAGTAATGTGTCTACCTGTCTCCTCGGGACTCACCTGTCATTGGGTCAAACAGCTGGTTGGCCTCCAGGTCGGTGAAGGTGCTGTGGCAGCAGGGGCACCGGAAGGACGCCCTGTTCGTGGAGTCGCGCTCGTCCGTCTCGATGCGCCGCCGCATGTGGTCCAACTTGTACTTGACCACGTTGACCAGCAGGCGGTAGTTGATGAAGTAGTAGTTGTGGCGGGTGGTCTTTCCGTCGGGCGCCGTCTCCACGCGCATGCGGCACTTGACGAACTTGTCGCCTTTCAGCGTGTTGAGCACGGAGCGCAGCTGCTTGCGGTCGAACTTCAGCAGCTCCAGCATGTCCTCCTCTCGCACGCAGGGGTTCCGGATCAGCACGTCCAGCGCCAGCGCGTGCTCGATGCCGTAGAAGCCCCGGACCACCTGCTTGGCCAGGCGCTTCAGAGCCGCCGGAACCTCCGTCAGCAGCTCCGGCTCCGTCATGATGGAGAGAGCAGGAGGAGGCACCGGTGATAGAGGAACAGTGAAAGTGCAGGAGTGACAGTCACGGAGGTGAAAGGTGTAGCCTTAGGGAGCCAGAGAATCAGGGGTTCACCTGTAGAGCTGCAGGCAGGATACAAGATGAGGTCAAATGATTGGTTCTGCAGTATGGAGATCTGTGAAAAACAGAGGAAGAAGGAAAGAGAGTGAGTTTTAATTAGCTAAGTCAATGCAGCTCAACACTGAGAACACTACCTCCCCACACCCGGCATCTTACTAATGATATGCACATACTATGAACAACAATTTGGCCATTATAATTCATCCCAAATCTTCTCAAAGCCCCCAAAGACGACTGACCAACCCTCTATGTCCAAAAGTATCCAGACAGGCCTTTAATTAGTGAATACAGCTGCTTTATGTTCAGGTTTTTGCACACAAAGCTTGTATAATCTCCACAGGAGCAGCCACACCTGAGCCGAAGGTTAAAATGTCCAATGCCAAGCTAGAGCTACTGTTCCATCCCATCCAGGACTAATCATCCAACATCAGTACCTCATCTCACTAATGCTCATGTGGCTGAACGCAATCAAATCCTCACAGCAATGTTCCAACATCTAGTGTAACGTCTTCCCAGAAGAGTTGAGGCTCTGACTGCAGTAAAAGGGGACAAATTCCCTATTAATACCCTTGATTTCAAAAGATGAGCAGTTGTCTACAAACCCCTGGACATACAACTATAACTACAGTGTATATTAAATAAAGATATAACCGAATGGCATTTTAACCCACTGGATCCATGTAAACGTCACGTCTACCTAAGTTATTAATGAAGCTTACTTATGAATTTCAGCACCGTTTATCTCAACATCAACATGTCTGATAAGCCCCAAGAGTGTGGGTTAAAGGGGAACCCCACTGATTTTTCAAAATTTCTTACCACATCAGAATTATTTAGAGTGGTGGTGTTAGGAACCAGATGACTGATGAGTTTAATGCCTCTAAAAGCTCCCTCACAGAAAGTTCAAGTTCAAGTTTCAAGTTTATTTGTCATTTGCACAACATATCAGGACATTTATGCATTGAAATGCTTGTGGTGAGGCTCAGCTAATCACTCTACAGAAAGTAAATGAGTAAAAATAAAATATAATAGAAAAGCAAACTGAAATATATTAAATATACACAAACATATACACAAATATAGAGACACATACAATAACAGAAATAACAGAAAGTTATTACATAAAACAGTTATGAATATGCTGCCTGATATCTGAGACATATTTTCCATCCATTTATTTTGACCCATTCATGGCAGGATATATGAAGGGTTAAGGTAAAATAGATTCCAAAGAAGACTAGAAGACATATTACATATGAATCTCAGAAGACTCGTGTAGGTTCACAGGTGGTCTTGGATAGTAAATAAAACGTCTATATTTGTGTTGTAGACATTGTGACGCCTGGTTCCTATCACCACCACTGTAAAGAAATCAGAGTCTAAGTTTCTCTGCAAATAAACCGTTTCACCTCAGACCACTCTGGATGACTCTGTTTACCTCTCAAGGACTGAATTACTCAGAAAATTTTGAAAGATTGGTGGAAGTTAGCCCTCACGTAGACAGCTGCATGGATTTCACAGCAACTTAGTTCTCGATGTCTCAATATTTTGTGGCCAATAAAGTTCTAAATAACATTTTGACGTTGAAAGAAAGCCGTTTTTAACCCACTGCATTCATGTGAACGTTGTCCAAACAGTGTCTATCTGCCCCAGCTAAGTTATTTAATCATGAATTAGTGTTCAGGACAATCTATGATGTTATTAGGAAACATAGTATAAATTTTCATAGCTATGCTGGCGACACCCAGCTATACATTTCTATCTCTGAAGATCAAGACTCTGTAGACAGACTAACCAGCCGTGTGTCAGATATTTCTCAGTGGATGTCGCAAAATTTTCTACAATTAAATCATGAAAAAACTGAAATACTGATCGTTGGTACAGAAACTCAGAGAAAGCTGCTTTGTGAGAAACTTGGTTCTTTAGCTTCATATACCAAACCTGAAGTACGAAACCTGGGTGTGATCTTAGACTCTGAGCTGAAGTTTGGCCTTTTCTCTCTCAGAGCGACGCAGAGAAACTTGTTCATGCAATTGTTACAAGCAGAGTTGATCACTGTAATGGTCGTCTTACTGGACTTCCTAAGAAAACAACACATCCTTTACAACTCATACAGCATCCTAACAAAAACAACACAGAGAGATCAGATCAGTCCCGCTTTGAAAGAGCTGCCTGTATCATTCAGGATAGATTTCAAGGTTCTGCTACTAGTCTTTAAAGCTCAAATCAACCTTAAAGCACCGCTTACATCGCAGAGTGTCTGTCTGTTTATGATCTTAGATCTGCAGATAGTGGCCTTCTACAGACACCCTCTGTAAAACACAGAAAACAGGGAGACTCTTTCAGTTATTCTGCTTCTAAACTGTGGAACTTAATTCCACCTTTTATTAGACAGTCAAGCTCAGTGCTCACTTTTAAGAAGCACCTAAAAACGTCTCTCTTTAAATTAGCATTTAACTGAAACAGAATGTCTCGTGGTTTTTATCTTCTAATTTAATCTTCTTCATTTTCTTCTGATTCTAATTAAGCACTAATGATCTCTTCTGTAACTGTTTTATCACCTGTCTGCAAAGCACTTTGAGCTGCCACCGGCATGAAAAGTGGTATATAAATAAAATTATTGTTATTATCATTATTATTATCATTATCTCAGCATGGAAGTGTCTAAAAAGTCCAAAGAGTCCGGCTTATCTTGGGAATTACACTGCTAGCAGCAGCACCGCTCGCTAAGTCAACAACTTCTACAGGACAGTAACTTATTACTAACACAGCGGTTCAGTTTTTAACCTCAATATAAACGATTTCCACATTATCACTTGTGGAAAATGTGGTCTGAAAGAGCTAGAAATCAAAAAAGAGGGCTTTACAAACCGAAACGGAGCGGCTTCTTCACACAAACTCCTCTTCCTCCTCCTCTTAGCGTGGAGAGCCTGGAAAAGGAATCGTTCAACTCACAACACATACGATAAGAGTCCCAACGTCTCCTATAAAATTCTCCTTCGTATATAAAGAGTGTATGCTTTATTAAAGCCATAAACATTTATTTTTTTTATTAGTAACTTGTGGTTTAATTTTAAGGACTTACATGTGCTGTTTGGACTGTTTTATTAGGATAATTTAACAAAACGTTTTGGGACTCTTATCATATGTGTTGCGTGTGCGATGATTCCTTAACAAATACGATAGGAGTCCCAACATCTTCAGAAAAAATTCTCCTAATAAGACAGTATAAAAAGAATTCATACACACATAATATACACACATAATATTTTTATTAGTAACTTATTTACTTTCATTTTAAGAACGTATATATATATATATATATATATATATATATATATATATATATATATATATATATATATATATATATATGCTATTTAGACTGTTTTATTACGATAATTTAACAAAACATTTTGGGACTCTTATCATAGGTGCTGCGGGTGTAATGATTCCCTAACACATACTATAGAAGTCCCAACATCTTCTGTAAAATTCCCCGAGAAACGGTGTAAAAGGCATTTGTAATTTCTTAAAATCATACACATATAACGTTTTAATTATTTAATAACTTCTATTTTAAGTTTATGAACGTATATATGCGATTTAGACCATTTTATTACGAGAACTTTGCAGAAGATGCCAGAACTCTTATCGTATGTTACGGGTGTAATGATTTCCAACACATACGATAAGAGTCCCAACCTCTTCCGGACAATTATCGTAATTAAACAGTCTAAATAGCACGCACACGTTCTTAAAATTAAAATAGAATTTGCTAAATAATAAAACGTTTAATAAATTTATAATTTTAAGCTGCATTGAAATATATACGGTCACTGAAAACATCTACAATCTCCGGTTGTCCTTTCAGCATGCGTCTCATTCACATGTGTCACTCATGAGGTTGGATGAGCTCTCTGAATTCACTGAGGTCACTAGAGTTTGGGATTTTGGTGGAAAGGTTTACGGACTTTGCTGCAGAGTTTTGGGTCATGCAAAACATTTATTACATTTATGTCTGGTGAAGCTCTGAGAGGAGAGGAGATGCATGAGGCTCCACCAGCGACCAACAGCAAGAAGAACCAGAAACAGAAACATGGAAAAGATGCTGCGGTGAGTCTTCACAGCGTGTGACAAACAGATTTAATCCAGTAATCATTAAAACCACCTCATGACACTCATTATCCATGTTATCAGCTCCACTGACCATATAGGAGCAATTTGTAGTTCTACAGTTACAGACTGTAGTCCATCTGTTTCTCTGCATACTTTGTTAGCCCCCTTTTACCCTGCTCTTCAGTGGTCAGGACCCCCGTACCCCCAGCACTGCTGTGTCTGATCCACTCAGACCAGCACAACACACACTAACACACCACCACCACGTCAGTGTTACTGCAGTGCTGAGAATGATCTACCACCCAAATAGTACCTGCTCTGTGAGGGTCCATGGGGGTCCTGACCACTGAAGAACAGGGTAAAAGGGGGCTAACAGGGTATGCAGAGAAACAGATGGACTACAGTCTGTAACTGTAGAACTACAAAGTGCACCTGTATAGTAAGTGGAGCTGATAAAATGAGTGTAGAAACAAGGAGGTGGACTTAATGTTCAACGGTTCAATGTCAGTGCAGCAGCGTAAAATTCTGTTCAACATAAATGATGAACTATCCTAACTTTGTGTAAATAGACCACAATATAGAAATATGTACTCATATGCAGTTGTGACTGACGTGTCTTTTTTCTGAATTTATACAAACAATATTTCATTTTATAGTAAATTAGTTTGGGCTAGTTTATGTTTATGAACAGAGACCTACAGATGCAGTTTAGTAAAGGAAACTCATTTGTGAATCTGAGTTTAAAGTTTTTATTAAACATAAACTTGTAACTAAGTTGCAAATAAATCTTAAACTGAAACTTTGCTTGTTTGTAAAAAGTGATTTCAGAGCCACTCAGTTCTACCTGATGGAACCTGTTCGCCTTCAGTGTTTTGTGTTTATGATAATTTTAATAAACATCAGCGTCACTAATTAATGACTCTATTAAAAGACTGGTTTACCAAGAGAGACACTGGAGTAGTTTTACCCAAAACGAGTTAATGAAGCGAGTCTTGTTACAAAAATGATAACAGGACATTAGAGCCATAATTAATCTTTTAGTACTTTTACTTTCGATACTCAAGTACATTTGAAGGCAAATACTTTTATACTTTTACTCAAGTGGAGGTCTAAAGGGAGGAACTTCTACTTTTACTGGAGTAATATTTAACCTTGGGTATCTCTACTTTAACTCAAGTACATGGTTTGTGTACTTCGTCCACCACTGTTTATTTTCTACTGGCTCCGTGAGGTGCATGGTGCTTGGACCTCAGTGATTGCCATTAGTATTGTGATTTGCAGGTGGTGATTTAGCTTTATCTCTGTGGTTGGGTTGAGTATTGACAACCTCGACCCCATACCACTCCTCCAGCCCACTACAACGCAAATATTCAGTACATTGCCCAGCCATACTTTATACCCCTCTAGCTTGGCATTGGTGACCTTAGCCCCCCAGAGTGTCCCATTCTACTAGTCAGTGGTTCTCTACAGAGATTATACAAGCTGTGTGCAATTGAACACCTGCAATGGGTGCACCTTAAAGCAGCTAAATTCCCTGAGTTATTACTAATAACGTCTCTGATCTCTTTGTTATAATCTTTAACTTCCTCATTGTTGACCAGTTTAGGTGTTTTCCACTTTCAGGTGCAGGGCACCAACGACAGCAGTGTGGTCAGTAAAGTGTCCGCTGCGGCTCAGGGCTACTTCCAGGATGATCTCCTCCAATATTTTGTGTGCAAGGTGTCACGACGAGCCCCTCTTATCAACAGGTAGGAAAACAATGTAGTAGAATTTAAACTCAGTTCTGCACCATAGAGTGTTTTCAAATTAAAATTACCGTCTGTGTTCTCTATATTTTCTTCTCAGGGGCTACTACGTTCGCTGGCAAGCTGTTGACCACTGTGTGAAACAGTTTTTGCGTGTCACTGGGTCCTGTGCTAGAAGACAGGTAGGATGGAATTCATAAAACTGCCTGGTTTATTTTAGGCCTAAGCGCTAATTAATTTGGATTAGATTATTCGGAAAAACACAACCTACATATTCATACTGGATGAAAATCACAATTATTACTGTCATACCATGAAAAACTACACAACCTAGAGATTCATATGGGATACTCTAAAATTATTACTGTCAGACTGTAAGAACTAAGCAAACTACAGATTCATACCAGATTAATGCCACAGTTTCTACTGTCAAACTAAAAAAATTACATACATTGCAGATTCATACTGGATTAACATCACAATTATTACTGTCAGACTGTAAAACTACACACACTGCAGATTCATACTGGATTAAAATCGCTCCACAATTATTACAGTCAGACTGTAAAACTACACACACTGCAGATTCATACTGGATTAAAATCACTCCACAATTATTACTGTCAGACTGTAAAACTACACACACTGCAGATTCATACTGGATTAAAATCACTCCACAATTATTACTGTCAGACTGTAAAACTACACACTGCAGATTCATACTGGATTAAAATCACTCCACAATTATTACTGTCAGACTGTAAAACTACACACACTGCAGATTCATACTGGATTAAAATCGCTCCACAATTATTACCGTCAGACTGTAAAACTACACACACTGCAGATTCACACTGGATTAAAATCGCTCCACAATTATTACCGTCAGACTGTAAAACTACACACACTGCAGATTCACACTGGATTAAAATCGCTCCACAATTATTACTGTCAGACTGTAAAACTACACACACTGCAGATTCACACTGGATTAAAATCGCTCCACAATTATTACTGTCAGACTGTAAAACTACACACACTGCAGATTCACACTGGATTAAAATCGCTCCACAATTATTACTGTCAGACTGTAAAACTACACACACTGCAGATTCACACTGGATTAAAATCGCTCCACAATTATTACTGTCGGACTGTAAAACTACACACACTGCAGATTCACACTGGATTAAAATCACTCCACAATTATTACTGTCGGACTGTAAAACTACACACACTGCAGATTCATACTGGATTAAAATCGCTCCACAATTATTACTGTCAGACTGTAAAACTACACACACTGCAGATTCACACTGGATTAAAATCGCTCCACAATTATTACTGTCAGACTGTAAAACTACACACACTGCAGATTCACACTGGATTAAAATCGCTCCACAATTATTACTGTCAGACTGTAAAACTACACACACTGCAGATTCACACTGGATTAAAATCGCTCCACAATTATTACTGTCAGACTGTAAAACTACACACACTGCAGATTCACACTGGATTAAAATCGCTCCACAATTATTACTGTCAGACTGTAAAACTACACACACTGCAGATTCATACTGGATTAAAATCGCTCCACAATTATTACTGTCAGACTGTAAAACTACACACACTGCAGATTCATACTGGATTAAAATCGCTCCACAATTATTACTGTCAGACTGTAAAACTACACACACTGCAGATTCATACTGGATTAAAATCGCTCCACAATTATTACCGTCAGACTGTAAAACTACACACACTGCAGATTCACACTGGATTAAAATCGCTCCACAATTATTACCGTCAGACTGTAAAACTACACACACTGCAGATTCACACTGGATTAAAATCGCTCCACAATTATTACTGTCAGACTGTAAAACTACACACACTGCAGATTCACACTGGATTAAAATCGCTCCACAATTATTACTGTCAGACTGTAAAACTACACACACTGCAGATTCACACTGGATTAAAATCGCTCCACAATTATTACTGTCAGACTGTAAAACTACACACACTGCAGATTCACACTGGATTAAAATCGCTCCACAATTATTACTGTCG